CACAAACACACACACACAAAAGCACACGTACATACACAAACGCACAAACACAGAAATACACACAAACAAACAAACACATACACACACAAACACACGCACATAAACACACACACACACATACACAAACACACACACACAAACACACACACACATACACAAACACCCTCACACATACATACACAAACACTCACACAAACACACTTCCACACACACAAGCACCCCCCGGGTCCACGATTGTGTGTTTGAGTGTGTCTCATCATCTGCCTGACTGACCACAAACCTCACCCCCCAACACTCCCCCCACACACTTCCACACACATACCGACTACCGACTACCTAGTACTACTATGAGTATAGGAACAAGACTTCGACACGCGCCATTTTGAACAGTGACGTAGATCTACGACGCAATGTTACACTGAGCAAATTTAGCCCAGTCATTGATAACCACATATGGCGTTGTATGAGGGAACCAGCCTTGATAAACACGACTTTATCTCATTAATTCTGCGCACGGAGACTCTACGCTCTTCGTCGGTGTAATGCCCTATGCACACCACCAATCGAATTCAGTCGAATTGAGTCGAATTAAGTCGAAATCCGTCTAAGTAAGTCGTTAGTCAGGGACAGCTAGATTTTCATCCCCGGAGAAACAAAAAAACTTAAACTGCTTCTATCGTGGCACAATTCGACCGAATTAGTGCGAATTCGATTAAGACCTTCAAAAACAAACATGTTTGTTTTTCAAGGTAGCGAATCGAACGATCAGATGTGCACATACAGCCTGCGGGCAGAATGTGATAACGGACAGTGTAGATTTGGAGAAGCTCATACCGTTAGATCTAGAAAGCTTTTTGGCGCTCCAGTGGCTAAGTGAGCAATGAGTTCAGACACAAGTAATGTGAAGCAAGTGTCGGTGACACGGGGTTTAGATGGGTGGTCACTGGGGTGTGTTCTTGAGCAAGACACGACAACCCTAGCTCAAAATACAGGGCGCTGCACAGTGGCGACCGGCAACGGCATGGTTGTTAATTGCTCTGTACTGGAGTATGTTATATGTATGTATGTATGTATGTATGTATGTATGTATGCATGTATATATGTATGTATGTATATATGTATGTACGTAGGTATGTATGTATGCATATTGCATGTATGTATGTTTGCCATTGTAAACCAAATTGCCCTTCTGAGATCAATAAAAGTGTAATCTATTATTTATTTTATATTTATTTTATCTATGAGATTCAGGAACCTCTCACACAGGAACAGCAATTTGCAACAGTCGGCACTTGAAACCTTTATGGAAGAAATGACTGTGTTGTGAACGGAACGTTTGTGTTCAGTAACAAATTGGAACAGTCAAATTTTTCTATTCGTGTCAAATCTGGCTCAACAAGGGACGGGGTATCTTCGTAGTGTGCACTGAAGCTGCCATCAAACGACCAGATCCGATCAGATAAGATCCGATCAGTTCCGATCCGATCAGCTATGGGCACCCAGTGTAAGGTTTCTCTTACAAAGAGACGGGAACAGGGATTATATAACGTCTTCGTGCCCATAGATGGTTATCTGCTTTTGTTTTCTTCGTAAGGGTTAAAATGTCTCTGAAGTACTATGGAAAATATGTGTGTGTGTGTGTATGTGTGTGTGTGTGTGTGTGTGTGTGTGTGTGTGTGTGTGTGTGTGTGTGT